AAATCACAGTGATTCTACTGTTCGCTTGACTCGATTATCTATATCTTTAATCTATCTATATCTCTTCTGATCCCGCTGATTTTTCTCGCCAGGCTTATATACTAAAAAAGAGGGCGTCTAGCAAACACTCGGACATTCGAGGGGTTCCTCGATAATTCATTATCCTTCGAGAAACTCCAGCGCGCATGCTCCCAGCGTCGCGTGACTTCCGCTGTCGTAACAATATTATTTACACAGGCCCAATTACTACATGTATATTAGAAATAAACTCTGGTGGGGCCTGATATTCAAGACACCACAAAACATTTAATGGATACAATTTTGGCACAATACCTGTCCTAGGCCAATTTGGCTTCGGCACCATCTTGTTTTCGTTTTATATTTACGATGGATGCATTATTGCTGAACAACGTTAATCATGAAATTGTTTTTAATAGAGACGAAGCAGTATATCATAACGTTAAAGTTGCTCTTCGGCCCTCTATTTAAGGTGTTAAAATTGTAAACCTACAAGTTATTACAATCTTAAATAGGTATGAGAAACATTACTATCAATTTATTTGCAGTATTGAAATAGTTTTAAAATTTTACATCTAATAACCTTTTACGTATAAAAGAGTTTATGTTAATAGACACACTATCTCTGCTCATGTCTGTTCATGCCATTTCTGGAGTATGACAACAAAAAAGTGCTTATACACGCAAAGTATATAAATTATAAAGTAATTTTATAAGTAGTTTTCCATTATCAGCATCTTTTAAAGTATTACTATCCAACTACAAGCAGATATTTTATTGTTGGGATATAAATAAGACTGTTTTAACTTTGTTTGAAAGAAAATTAAAGAAATAATTGCATCAGACACCCAAAAATAGTCTGTTATTTCCAACCTTAACAATTCCTACACCTTTAGGCCTTGGGTTGGGCCGGACATGACCTGGTGGTTTAGCGTGCCGGACTGTAAATTCGTTGCCCCAAAACGTGCTCCAAACATTAGAAACGTAAGCATGTTATAAAAATTATGGTCATATTCAACCATTAGATTACAGTAGCTCAAGAACTGACAGTGGGCGCTGCTGACTGTCTACTTTTCCTCCAGTCTATCAGTTCAAAATTAAGCAAGGCTAGCACAAATAGTCCTTGACTCCTTGTATAGCTTTGCACGAATATCCGAAAAGAATCAAACACATTGATTTCATAGATATCAGTGCCATTTAAATCTAACGTTGCACAAAATTACACCAATTTCAAGTTAAATACAATTTATTTCACTTTTAACTTCACAACCAACAAAGTAGTAGTTCACCACTTAAAGTCAAACAACCGGCAGCTTGTACTTCATTTTTCAGTTTCTTTCGTTAATGAAGTGTTCGTGGGAAATAGTGATTGCTTTCATATCATTAGATCGTGAACCTGTGGTAATTTGGCTATTTTATGGCCATGAGGAGAACTGAGGTGAAACGTGGCTGTTTCAGAGTTGTCATCTTGCAGAACACGACTTCTTCAACGTTGTCATATTTTTGCAAGTGTTATTCTTTCAGACGAATAAGCACGACCACAACTGTCATCTTTTAAGAGAGGGACAACTTTAAGCTTCCATACATGAATTCAGGAAGGGAGGTTTAAAAGGAACCCCACCCTCCAACATTTGTTGTTGTTGTCTGTGTGCTGATATAGCTAAATCTCACCACGAGGGCCCGGCATGGCCAGGTGGTTAAGGCGCTCGACTCGCAATCTGAGGGTTGCGGGTTCTAATCCCCGTCACACCAAACATGTTCGCCCTTTCAGCCGTGGGGGCGTTATAATGTGACGGTCAATCCC